ACCGTGAGTTAGAGCTGATCTTTTTAAATTGCATGTATTTGATTGATGCTTGCCTTCTGATCTTATCTGCTTTGTTGCATCATATCCTCAGTGACCATCCTGGAGTCTGGCACATAGTCAAATTTCAATAACAGCATAGAAAAATGAATGAGAAATGGAAGAACCCAATAATTTAAAAAAAAATGTGTCAGTTTTATTGGCATAATAAGGGGCAGTTCAAGCCATACAAATTTTATTGTTACTTAATATATTGTTGTTGTTGTTAAGTGCCATGGAGTCGGTTCGGACTCATAGCGACCCTGTACAGGGTTTCCAAGGCTGTAAATCTTTACGGGAGCAGAATGCCTCATCTTTCTCCCGCGGAACCGCTGATAGTTTAGAACTGCTGACCTTGTGGTTCACAGCCCGATTCGTAACCACTACGCTACCAAATCTCAGTACATTAAAAGTCAGGAAAATTCCACTGAACCCAAGCTTGAAATCATAGACTTTAGAGAAGTGTTGTTAAATAGAAGTATAATATGGGCCACATAGATAATTTAAGAAGTTATAGTAGCTACATTGGAGTCCTGATATGGTGCTATAGGATAAGCACTGGCCTACTAACCACAAGATTGGTCCTTCAAACCTATAAGCTGCTCGTTGGAAACCCTTTAAGGGTTGCTATGAGTCAGAACAAACTTGGAGGCACTTAGCAACAACAATAATAGCCACTTTAAGGAGTTCTGGTAGCATGGTTGCTCTACATGAGAAAGTTGAGGCTTTGGGCTTCCATGAAAATTTATAGCCTTGGAAACCCTATGTAAGATTGCTGTGAGTTAGAACTGACTAGATAGCACACAACTACCACCACCACAAATAGCCACATTGAAACAGTAGAAAGAAACTGATAAAATATATTTGAACTAATCCAGTATTTAAAAACATTATGATTTCAACATAGGATCTATCTAAAAATTAATGATAGATTTTATATTTCTTTTTGTATTAAAGTTTTGAAATCTGGTATGTATTTAACACTTACACCATATCTTAATATGAACTAGCCACATTTCAGGTGCTTAAAAGTCACATGTGGCTGTAACAGACAACAAATTTAGGATAATTTTACATACAAGCGGCCTTTTGCAAATAGCATGGTGAGTTGATGGTAAAGTCAATGAATGCTTTAGAAAATTAAATTAAAAGTCTTAAATTTAAATAACAAAAGATACTAATTATTTAATACCAAGTGCCCTGTGAAAGGCCCAAACACATTTCTATCATTCACACATAGAAAACCTTTTTACAATGATTCACTTTAGATGTGACATCCAGAGTGCATGTAACTAAGAATGACCTTTAGGACACGCAAACACGCAAACTAAAAAGAAAGTCTTGAAACTTCCTAAATAGCAGAAAAACTCATTAAACTCTTCCTACCATCCTTACTTTTTAGGATGTTAATTATGGTACCCCTGACTTTCTTACCCTGAATAATTCTCTTTGCTTTCCAAAGAACAGATATGGTGGCATTCTCCTGCAGGTGCAACCTAGAAAACAAGAAACCAACCAACCAACCAACCAACAAAAAAACCCACACAACATTGGCATTCTTTTCTGCAACACTGAAATTGCCTCTTGGCAATTTGGCCAAACTGTATACCTTTAGGAACCTGGTGATGTAGTGGATTAAGCATTGGACTGCTAACTGCAAGGTTAGTGGCCGAACCCACCAACTACTTCACAGAAAACGGAGCCAGTTGGCTTCCATAAAGGTTTACAATCTTGGACACCTTAAGAAGCAGTTCTCCTCTGTCCTGTAGGGTTACAGGAGTTGAAAGCAACTCACAAAGGCAGTGGGTGGATGCGTATATTCTTTCAAAATTTGGCCTTCTTTAAAGCCTTCTTGATCTGATCTGCATTACACAATATCTTCTTTCTTTCTCCCTTTCTGCTTTTTTCCCCTATGTTCCCCACCATTCCACTACTTTCCACAGGGAAGTTTTTATAGTGGGTTTTTGTTAAGTGCCTTTGAGTCAATTCTGACTTATAGTGACCCTCTATAGGGTTTCCAAGGAGCCACTGGTGGGTTTGAACCATCAACCTTGTGGTTAACAGTCCAGTGCTTATCCGACAGCACTACACCAAGACTCCACTTTTTGACAAAAACAACTGGTATTACACTCATCCTCTAACCATATCTATGAATAATTATGGATAACACTAATGCCTGCAAAAGTCATCTTTGTAAGCTATGGACAAAATAGGTGATATTTATTTGAGACTATAACAAAGAGACAATATAGATTATTTCATTGTCCTATATGTAAAATTAGCTCTTAGATAAAACCCAGTGGAGCAATTCAACTTTGCACACTTGGGTTTGCTATGACTCAGAATCAACTTGTTGGCAATGAACAGCAACAAAAACAAAGTTTCTTTTATGAGTCATATTTAGTCCTCTAGTAATGTATTTCCCACGGATGAATTATTTTCCCTCTTATATCCTGGAGAATGCTGGCAGTGAGTTCCATTACATATGTAAGAGAGAACAGACGACCTCAGCCTCTGCCAACAAGGAAGGCCTGTTCTTATGTCCCCAACCCTCACATATATTTTCTAATAGTACCAGGCTCAGGACAGGTACTGATACAGGACCAACCCTCACATATACTTTCTAATAGTACCAGGCTCAGCACAGGTACTGATACAGGACCAGCTCTGGGTCTATATGCATTATGTAACCAATTAGTACAAATCCTTCCCCCTTTCCCAATGCTCTTTTATTTTCAAGTCATATTTATAAAGTTATAGTTTCGGTACAGTAAAATTGATCCTTTTTAGGCCTATTGTTCAATTTATTTACGAAAGTGTATAGTTGTGTAATCACCAGCACATTCAGAAATGGAATGTTCCCATTAGTCATATTCTGTTGCATGAGGTGGCTTCAAAAAGTTTGTGGGAATTTCCATTGATTTTCAGTTGTTGTTTATGAATAAAGCTGCTACAAATAATTACCTACAGGTATATATATTTCTAAGGAGCTCTGGTAACGTAGTGCTTACGAATCGGGCTATGAATCGCAAGGTAAGCAGTTCGAAACTACCACCTGCTCCATGGGAGAAGGATGAGGCTTTCTGCTCCCGTAAAGATTTACAGCCTCGGAAACCCTGTACAGGGTCACTATGGGTCGGAACTGACTCAACGGCACTTAACAACAACAAATGCATATTTCTAGGGAGTCCTGCTATGGTGTGTAGGTTAATGCGCCAGACCGCAAAGCTATTCGAACTGTAAGGTTGGTGGTTCAAGCTCACCAGCTGCTCCTTGGAAACCCTATACAGGGTTGCTGTGAGTCGGAATTGACTCAGCGGCACTTAACAACAACAACATATATTTCTGGAGGCATCTCAGTGTGGTGCAGTAGAATAAACACTAGAACACCTGATCGGTTTCAACCACAAGGTCAGTGGTTCAAACTCACCAGCCACTCCTCGGAAACTGTGTACAGGGTCACTCTGAGTTGGAACCAACTCGATGGCATTTAACAACAACAACAAATATATATGAACATTTATTTTAATTTTTATCCTTATTAGAAGTGGGGTATATGGTAAGTTTCCATAGAACTGTTTCCAAAGAGGCTGTAGCACATAGTATGCCTACCAGAATTCCAGTTGCATCAAGTCTTTGCTAGCAATTGGCTTCCAAATGCTTGTTTGTATATTTATTTTAATTTTTACCCATTCTAACTGGTCTTGAAGTCCTTCTATATCCCCAATACATGATGTTCTAGGCATCTTTGTGGTATGGGAACAGCCCTCTTTTATCTTTCTAGAATAATAATTTGATCAAGCACTTATATTAAGTCATGAGTGTTTGCTTATGTGAAATACAGCAGCGTAGTGGTTAGGAATTCTGCTGCAAACCTTAGGGTCAGCAGTTTCAAACTACCAGCTGTTCTTTGGAAGAAAGATGAGGCTTTCTGCTCCCATAAAGATTTGCAGCCTCGGAACCCTGTACAGGGTCGCTATAAGTCAGTTCTGACTCCACAGCACATAACCACCACCACCATTGCGTTATTAAGTGCCAATGAGTTGGTTCTGACACACAGCGGCCTTGTATAGGGTTTCTTAGGAGCAGCTGGTACGTTTGACCCTCCGTCCTTGCTGTTCAAACCAACCTTACAGTCCAGCATATCTATTTGTTGTTGTTGTTAAGTGCCATCGAGTCGGGTCCAACCCATAGCGACCCCGTACAGGGTTTCCGAGGGTGTAAATCTTTACGGGAGTAGAAAGCCTCATCTTTCTCCCGCGGAGCGGCTGGTAGTTTCGAACCATTGACCTTAAGGTTCGCAGCCCGATTCGTAACCACTACGCAGCATATCTATAGGAGTCAGGTATTTTGAATTGTCTTTTGTCACTAGGCTGAGTTGGTTAGAACATGATACTAATTTTCTTCATATTGAGTAAAATTAAGTCCACTCCAGTGACAGAGACTGCTTCATAATTCAACAGAACCACATCCCTACTAGAGTCCTTACTGAGAAACAACTCTAAAGATGAGAGTAATGGCATGAGTGGAAATTTATCATCAGTACAGAAGAACCTAAAACTGCGTTTTCAACTATTACCCAAGTAACCCTCATGAAAAGAAGAAGGGGAGTCAGGTTTTACTGGAGAAACAATAGAGCATTTAATTGAAATGTCACTTTCTCTGTTAAACAAAGAAGCTGTTCCTCTGACTATGTGATCAAAGTTGATGTGTCCTATTTCTTTGTGGGGATTCGCTTTTCTCTCATCACTGACTTAATTTGATTGCACCAGTTTGTCAACTGTCAAGTTTGGCATCCCTCAGCTGTAGGATATAGATAATGACAGTCTTTGCAATTTAACAATCATGTGCCAATATTTTGTTTCTCTTAATCAAGATGAACTAGAATTATCTTCTCTCCCCAATAACTTTGAAATAATAAAAAAGTTCAAGACCTTTCTTTTTGTCTGTGTTATATTTTACAGGTGGCTTGTCTAATATCTTGCGTTTTCGTCCTTATAGTCATCTATGCAATAGGACCTCTGCTTTACTGGCTGCCCATGGTACAGTAACACTTGTTCATTATTTCCTTTGAATGGGAATGATAGTATATTAATAACTTCTTAGAAATTAACAACCTCAATCATCCTGAATCTGGAAGCCGTGTTATATAAGCAATGGTTGAATGTGCAGAGGTGGAAAATACCACATTTGATGGGAGTTGGGGGGATGAGAAGGTATCATGTTGTTCTTATCCTTTGGCATACCAAAATAACACTGTGGAATTAGATTTATCCTGTACTTATTTGAAGAGTATAACTAGACCCACACTGCTATAAAAAATAAACATTGGGAACATTTTTTAAAAAATCATAACTGTTCAATCAAAAGACTGCCTTTTGTTATGGAGAATTTCCCTCCATGGAACGATTTTCAATAGAATTAGGATGGCCACTTATTGATGATATTTTAGAGGAAATTCTTGACTTAAAGGGTTAAATTCCAACTTTGAAATTGCTGGTTCTTCTATATACATGAGTGGAGTCCTGGTATGGTGCTGTGGGTTAATGCACTGGACTGCAAAGTCAGTTTGGACTGCAAGGTTTGTGGCTCAAGCTCACAAGTCACTCCTCAGAAACGCTACACAGCATCACTATGGGTTGGCACTGACTCGATGGCACTTAACAACAACAACATGTACATGAGTGCCGGGGCAGAATGCTAATGCCTGTGGCTCATCTTGACCCTCACAGGTCTGGGGCACCAAAGTGACACAAGTAAGACACTTACCTTATGAAGACCAGAAACAGTGTTGGTCTTTTCTTGCTGTAATGCTTTATTGTTTTATTGGGAATAAATTATTCCCACAGGAGGCGCTTCTAGTAATGAAGTTAATTTTTGGATGAGTTATAAATATCTCCTGGTGAAAAGGCAGAATTAATACTCAAGGCAATTATAAGTAAACATATGATATAAATATCCAGTTTTGTACAACAAAACAATTTTAAACAAAAGACAGTAATTATAACGTTAAAGGACATTCAGCCTTTTAACACTCATCCTTTATAATTCACTTTTTCTTTTTTGGAATAGCATAAGATTTGCCTTGTGATCATCTTTAATTGATGTTATATGCCAACAAAATGAAATATCTCATTATTACTTTCATCTTATAAATGGTGATTGTTTTTTCTCTAGTAAGAACTTTAAGACAAAGAAAGAAAAAAATATCTGGGTCTTTTTAACTTTGGATTAAAATCTTTATCTTGTTTCTTCATCAACTTAATTTGTGTTTGTAGTGTGTTCTTGCGAGTATTATCGTTGTAGGACTGAAAGGAATGCTAATACAGTTCCGGGATTTAAAAAAGTATTGGAATGTGGATAAAATTGATTGGGTAAGTAGAAATTTGACCTAAAATTTCCCTCTTTGGCTTAAGTACATGCTACCAAATAAACTTTATTACTTTCATTTGCAGAAAATGGATTTAGTAATTTGACACTTGTGTACTTCACAAACTATTATAAAAGCATGAAATTATAAAATTATGTATGAGAAACAAGTGAAATTTGTCAAATTTTTCTGGATCTGTATTTGAGAATGTGTTTTAAAAAATGCTTGTTTATTGAAGTGGACATACCTGACTTATGTATGAATTGATTTTGAAAGTAAGCCTCAGTAAGAAAATGCTCACTTATAAAATGTTTGGAAAACTAGCATTTATTGCTAAGAAATATATACTGTATTAGAGCATGGTGTTTTTGTAAGGTAAATACTGGACTGTGAACTACAAGGTTGGTGGTTCGAGCATACCTGCCACTCTGCAGTGCTCCTGCAAAGATTTACAGAATAAAGATTTACAGCTCTGTAGAATATGCTAACCACAAGGCCAGCTGCTTAGCAGGAGAAAGATGAGCATTGCTGCTCTTGAAAAGATTTAAATTCTTAGAAACCTATACAGAGTCACTATGAGTCAAAACTGACTTGAGGGCACTTAACAACGACAACAACATGGCTTCTACTACCAGAGACATTTAGCATGTTTATTCAAGAGAATTAGATTAATGCAAGAATATCCCAAATTCTCTCTCCCTCCAATGTAGATGAAGTGGCTCTGCTGTACATTTTTCATGAACATCTCTCTCAGTTTACCTTTAACATGGTATTTACAACATTTTAATTCCAACTCCTTCATACCCTTTTTTCTGACAGACTTTGGGAGATTATTTATGCTGATGCCCACTTTCATAATATTTCTCCTGAGATTCAATATTGCTAAATTCCTATCAAAGTACATCACTATGTGCCATGGAGAATGTATAGACGCATAAAGAGAACTACCTGTTCTTCCAAGATTCTTATCATTTATGCCAGGAACAGACATGGAAACAGTAATTCATTATGTAAGGCATTATACAATATGCCCTGGACTTAAAAGCATAAGCTTAGTGCTGGAAAAAAAGAATGGAGGAAGGAACATATAATTTGTACGGAGATAGGAAAGTATCCTACAAAAGGCTGAAGTATGAACTAAGATTTGAAAGAACATTGTGTGGTAGGTAGTCCAAAAGGCCAAAACTAACCAAGCTGAGAGAGGATCATTTGTTTTTAATGTTTTATTGTGAATTATGTGATAGTTTACATGGGAGAACATTAGCTTTACATTCATCCTATCATATATCATTTCATTGCCATGGTTACAATCCCCTCCATGCATCATCAACCAACCAAAGGGTATACCCTGCAAGCCTGTCCCCTGGTCGTCAGCACACAGCCCCTCTCAATCTCTGGGTCTAAAGTCCCCAGCCGCTCCATCTCTCCACGTCATGGTCTCTGTCTCCATCTCTGGCATCACTGCTTCTCTGGGTAGGGTCGGGCTCTCTGCTCCTCTCCCTTGATGGTCCCAGGGACCTCAGCTCCTAGACTGCAAAGTCAATCACTCCCCTCCTTTTGCTATAAAACGTCTACCTTTACATTTCCAACCCTCACAATCAGCTCTGATAACAATTATTCACTATTGTATTACAAGAGACCTATCCACATCTCCTTTCATCAGCCCCACCCAGACAGATTGGATACTACTCAGTGGAGATTCTACCTTCCTCCACACCCTCTGGATCTAGACGCCCTCTGGATCTAGGCTCCCTCTTGAAAGCTTTTAAGATGGTCACTTCTTGCCTTTATAGCCCCCCCTCATTTTGGGTGCCAGTGTCCAAGTTGTCCATCCCTGTCTACTCTATGTATGGAGGGGGTGGGAATGATCCTTGCTGTAAAGATTTGTTCTCTCTTTTGAGCTACTGCATCCATAGGTGTAGGTCAAGTGCATCAAATTGTATTAGATTACTCTTTTTTTTTTCCCTCTTCTTTCTTCTTCTAGCTGAGCTCTGATCATCCAGTCATTGAAGCCAGGTCAAGTGGGTATTATCTGCAAGTGTGGGTGTCCTTATGCATATGCCCTCTCTTCTTATCAGCTGGACGCTTCACTCTCCACTCTAGTTCTCTATGGCTATGTCACTGACTCTGGGCTGAAGAGTCCCCAGGTCTTGCCACACTGCTGGCCAACCAGGTCTCCACCCGGGTTCACAAGAGTCTATTGAACATTGTAGGGCTTAGCTCACAGCTTCATTGTTTTGGATCATGATTTTTTAAGGTGATATCTGTGAGACAGTCCATAGAAACAGAGAAATGAGAGATGCAAACTTATTTAGCAAGCAACTTGATCACTCCATGATAAAAACATTTATAAAATATTCATTAATAATATTGGAGGGCACTTTATCATATTAGAAGGGGAGGGAAGATGGTATCAAGAAAGGCTTTTGGTAGGAAGTGATTTCTAAGTTGAGAAATGAAGAATGAGTAGATGTTATCTGGGGAAGAGAGGAAGACACAGATGAATGTGAACGTATCTCATATCATTTGAAAAAAACACAAGGAATTCAGAATCAGTGGAACATATAATGTGAAGGTGGAGTTAGTAAAGTTGGGAAAGTTGAGAATGACCACATAAGCCTTATAAAGAAGATTAGACTTAATCCTGAAAATCATGAGGTACCATTGAAAGGGGAAACATGAATAAGACTTATTTATCACCATGCTACCTGAGTAATGAGGACTAGGGATGAAAGTGAGGTGGTGTGCATGAAATGAAGCACTGCTGTAGTAATTAACATGAATAAATGAGGAATACCTAGGCCACATTGAGACTTTAATGGTCAAGAAGAGGCAATAGATTTAAAAAATATTGAAGAGATTTATTTAAATCTCTTCATCATATAAAGTGGATCCGTCAGACTGGCTTTTAAAGTTTTCCAGTTAGGAGCATCAGAGAAGATGACTTCGTTCATTGAGCTATAGAGGATAGAAGATTCTGTTGCTTAACTAGAGTTAGTGATTACCTTTCACCTTAAAAAAATACAGGTTTTCATTCCTGAGTCATTTGTTTCATTTCATTTTTTTATTTTCGTACATCATCACTAAATATTTTTCTAAGAAAGGCTCACAGTTTTTATATTCCTGGGCTGTTGTATGATGAAAATATCTGCTGTCTTCTTTTTGTGCTAGAAGGAAGGTCAAATAAATGCTTGGATTATACTTGTTTCACCTTAATACTTTATAGACTTGACATTATCTATGGCACTGAGTGTTAGTGAAGAAAAATCACAGGCCAACATGATTTTTTTTGTTGTTCTTTTACATGATTTAGTTTTTCTGATTGCTCAATGAGGTTTCTTCTGCTTACCCATGAAGTTTGGTAATGTGATCAGAATAATTAGTGTGGTTGAATACCCAATACCAAAGTTTTTTGAGCATCATATATTCTTTTCCTTTCAGAATCAATTATTATTTACAAAATATTTTCTTCTAATTATACCTTTGGGGTTTTTTTTGAAATCCTTCTGTTCTTTTTCATGAATCACAATTATGTATTGGTTATTTTTATATTGTACTTTTCATACCTATCCTTTATTGCATGTTTATATAGATATGTTGTATGTAGTTCCTGTGAACTATAAGCTGGATCTCTTATTTTGTATTTTCAATTCTAATGATGGCCTCCTTTTTTTTTTTGTTTGCTTTAAATAAGATTTTTATTTCTGTAATGTTTTTATTTATATTGTTCCTAATTATTTACAGTTTGCTTTTTTCCTCTTTATTTTTTTTTCAAATAGCATTTCTTGTTTGCATCTATATATCCATTCTTGAAGCTTGTTTCTTGAGTTGCCGATTATATATATGAAATAGTCTTCTGCCTCTATCTGTTATTTCCTTTTTCATTTATATGAATAGATCCCTTTCTTCTTCCTTTATTATTTTGTGCATTTTAAAATGAACTCAGATATTTCTTGAAAAATATTTTTGGGAGGAAATGAAGTAGGATTTAGGTTGGTTACTTGAAGCAAAGGTTTGTGGTCATAAGTTCTAGGTGTTCTGGTGGTCTGACTCTGTCTCCTTTTAATTTATCTTGTTTCCATTTGTATTACAACCTAGCTTGATTAGGAAGCTAGCTTGTAATACAAATGGCATTTCACCTTCAGTTTGTTATGTTGTGGCAGCTTGCATATTGTTATGATGCTTGAAGCTATGCCACCAGTATTAGAAATGCCATCAGGGTCACCCATGGTCAACAGGTTTCAGTGGAGCTACCAGACTGAGACAGACTAGGACAGAGAGGTGGGCTATTTCTGAATATTTAGCCTTTGTAAACCATATGAACAGCAGTGGAACATTGTCAGATATAGTACCAGAAGATGAAAAAAATGTTATGAACAGCAGCAGAGTGTTGTCAGATAGAGTGCCAGAGGCTAGCCACTCAGGTTAGAAGGCAGTTAAAATATGACTGGGAAAGAGCTACCTTATCAAAGTAGAGCTGACCATAATGACATGAATGGAGTAAAACTTTCATGACCTTCATTTCCTGACCTAGCAGAGCTCAAAATGAGAAGAAATGTCTGTAAGCATCCATTAATAATTGGAACATGGAATATAAGAAGTATGAATCTAAAAATATAGGAAGCTATCAAAAAGGAAATGAAAATGCATAAAGATTGATATCCTATGGCATTAGTGAGCTGAACTGTACTGATATTACCATTTTAAATTAAACAATCAAATAGTTTACTATCAGGGAAAGACAAATTCAAGAGGAATAGCACTGTATTCATCATCCGAAAGAGCATATCAAGATCTGTCTCTGATAGGATAATATACATATGCTTACAAGGAAGACCAGTTAATACCACTATTATTCAAATTTAAACACCAACCACTAAAGCCAGTAATGATGAAATTGAAGAATTCTACCAACTTCTCCAATCTGAAATTAATTGATAAAACATGCTATCAAGATACACTGATAATTTCTGAAGGTTAAAAACAAAGAGGAGGGATTTGTAG